CGTCAGACACCAACCCATTAGGGCTGATCAGACTTCCAAGATAAGTGAAGTTGTCGACGCGTTCGACTACTCCACTCCCTATCCTTAGTTCGGGTGTTGACGCAGGCCAGTCCTGGAGTAACAATTTACATTTGGATGGGGGGAATCGCACCCCAAACATCCTGGCATTATTACTGAGTTCCAACAGAAGACTCTGCATTTTGCCAGCGTCTTCACCAAACAGGACTATGTCATCTGCATATTCTAAGTCGCTTAGTGGTCCCCCTGATAGGAGATCAATTCCTGTAAATTCAGTCGAAGAGAGTGTTATTTCCAGCAACAGGTCTATAATGAAGTTAAACAAAAATGGGGATAGTGGACAGCCTTGACGGACACCACTTGAGGTTGTAAAATCATATGACAGTTTGCCATAAGCTCTCACTCGACTGGTAGTGTTTGAGTAAAGAGCCTTCACAAGGTTTGTGTACTTCTCAGGTACACCTTTCAATGACAGACACCGCCACAGAACCTCTCGGACTACAGAGTCAAATGCTGCTTTCAAGTCAAGAAAAACTATCATTGTCGGACGCCGATAAGCGTGTCTGTGCTCTAAAACTTGACGAATGGTGAATATGTGGTCGATACAGCCACCACCAGGTCTGAAGCCAGCCTGATTTTCTCGTGTTTGCAGTTCACGAGTCTTAGTTAGACGCCCGATAATTATTGAGGCTAGTATTTTAGATGCTATGTTAGTCAGACTAATCCCTCTATGGTTATCGCAGGATGATTTTGACCCCTTTTTATATATTGGGACAATCAGTGATTGTGACCAGTCGGATGGGATTACATCCGTCTCCCAGATTTTAGCCAGAATATTAGTCAACCTAATCGCTAAAATTGGACCGCCATATTTAAAGACCTCTGGAGCCAATCCATCTGGACCAGCTGCTCTTCCTCGTTTCAGATTACCTATAGCCTTTTGAACTTCAAGAAGGGTCGGGGGGCCTACTTCAATGTTCCATTCAGGTTTTCTGGGAATAGTGGGTAGTTGTGCAGTAGCTGAAGGCCAGCTAAACTGCTCCTTAAAGTGTTCCGCCCATCGTTCTAAACGTTTGGGTTGAGAGCAGATAAGGGTTCCGTCTTTTTCCGAGATTGTCTCACTTACACTTGACTTCTTAATTCCGGTTTCTTTTATTAGTCTGAATAGTTGCCTGGTGTTCCCTACAGCCGCTGCCTTTTCCATCTCTTTTGCTTTCGTTGCCCACCACTGCTCACGATCATTCCTTAGACTTTTAGTTAACCTAGATCTAATTTCTTTACGCTCTTCGTCATGTTTAGAGCCTGATGGTATGAGTTTACGCGAATCCATCAGTGAAATAGACTTAGAGGAAATCCACTGGTTTTTTGGAGCCCTATGGTTTAAATGACTAATAGATGTTACTGCTGTTTCCACAGCTGTTCGTGTGTCTTTCCAAGCAGCATCTGGGTCAGTCTCGTTTACAGAACTGCCTAGATGTGAACTCAGTTGTTTCTGGAATTCGCATTTGGCTTTCTCGTCCTCCAGTTCAATCCTAATGGGTCTTCTTAGTGTACTTTTCCTGCGTCCATTGAGGCGCAGACAAATGCGTGCTCGTATTAAAGCGTGATCAGAGTCTAAACAAGTATTCCAATACGAGCGACAATCTTCTATTGAGCCTCTCCAACGATGACTGATGACAATATGGTCTATTTGAGTCCATCGTTGGTTTGATGCAGGTGGTCGCCATGTTAGACGATGTCTCTCCTTATGTTTAAAATCAGTGCTTGCTAAAAATAAACGATTGTCTGAGCATAGTTGCAACAGACGATCACCATTATCGGTTCGTTGAGCCGGAATACTAAAACACCCACCTAAATGTCTTTCTGTTTGATTTAGGCTGCCTACCTGAGCATTAAAGTCACCCGCTACGACTACTATGTCTGAGCGCTTAGCTTTCTGAAGCTCAGAGAGTTCTCTGTAAAAGTCATCTTTTACTTCATCATGGCTGCAGTCAGTGGGAGCGTAGGCAGAAACGACGAAAAGGCAACGACGTGTGTCCCTATCCTTCCGAGTTCTTACGGAGCCATTTAGCCGGACAGCACATAGGCGACTGTTAACGGGGATCCATTGTAATAGTGCCTGTTCTGCCCTTGTACTTAGTGCTATGCCTACACCTGCAAGTCCGCGAGAACTAGCCAACGGGTCGCCAGATACACGGAGGGTGTATTTCGTCGGCTGTCCATTTTGGCGAGGTGAGGTCAAGTGAATGACCACACTGGGATCCTGTATGCGTGTTTCGGAGACACAGCATACATCAATGGTACGAGATTCTAGGGTTTTAGCTAAGGAGGCCTGTTGACCGATTTGGCATAGGGTACGTACGTTGAAGGCTCCAATGTGTAGTTTGGAGCGAGGTTTAAGTAGACCTGGGACAGCGTTTCGCGCACTAGAATCGTTGGCCATGGTGACACTTGAGGAGGAAACCGAGAGAGGAAGTTTAATGTTGGAAGTCAAGGTAGAGGGAATAGTAGGAATTGAAGAAGAAGATTGATTATGAATACAGTGGTCTTGAGTGCTGTTAGAGGTATGAGGGCAGTTATCACTTCCCGGTTGCCCACACCGTGGAAGGATTCTTCTAGAGGTACCTGAAAAGGAAATTGGGTTAGGAGTGGTCTTAATGACCTGAGAGCGTGACCGCAGTGCCCAAGGGACAACTGCTTGTGTATTCAAAAACAGTTTGTTCTCACCTTTAACCTACCCTGGTAATATTAGCTTATTATCCAGAGTGTTGAGGTTTTCAAATTGTTTTCACATTATTTTTATTATTATTATCCTTGTCTATTCTTACCCCCATTTCCAGTTTATTTGACCTTTTTATTTTTTATACATAAATGTTCTTAACAAGTATATTGCGTGTGGTCAGATTGTTCGAAATGTATTGCACTAATATATCATCACATAGTTCTGATAATCTTCGTCTTCTTATTACACTATCGAAATTCTTTATATCTGTGTATCACATCAGCAGTATTTCAGTCAACTAATTTTAAAGGTTGTTTTTTCCCTCCACATCTCCTGAACTGAATTAATGAAGTATAAAACTTTATAATGTAATTATACATCCTAGTAATATTCAACTTTAGATTATTGTTCAGAACACACATGTGTCTTGTTAAAAATTGTGAGAAAAAATAAAACTACTAAAGATTCCCATTGTGAAAATTAGAACAATATATGTAAGCAAACAATTGTTTACAATTAGATTGTCATCAGGCTATACTCTAATAAAAAAACTGGCAGAATGCAGGTATCATTACCAAGTTTTGATCTGATCATTTTGAATAAATTAAGCATTGGGTAGATTGTTATAAATAAATTAATATATTTGGTTATTTATTCTCTGAAGAAGTTACTTACACTGAGTCACGAAACGTCAGAAAATCTTATTTTTCTACTCATTGGGATATTACAAATATATCAATTTATTTAAAACTGATAGAATAATTCATTTAGTTTGTTTGTTTGTTTGAATCTTCCTATTGATGTTTTAGGACTGCAACTGGTCAGAATAATTGAAACTTTATAATAGACAATTATTCACAGATCTATTTAGCTTTAATATCTTATTATTGGATTTTGTTAACATTAAGTGATTTACATTTGTCATATAGTGAATTAGATGACAATAATTTCTGTTAAATTTAATGAGTGGGTTTATTTTAAGGGGGTTATTTATAGGCTTTCATTAGTAATAATATGAACAGATTTCAATAATAATGTAGTGAACAAGAACACGAGTGAGGATAATCGAATGTATTTAAACACAACTTACAGACTATCTCATTAAATTCTGATAACCATACAGTAAACAGTTAATTTGCAAAATAACAATCAATTATCTCAATCTTAACTGTTCGTGCTGCAAATATCAGTCCGTCTTCTCTGATTGTATTGTTCAAGCATTTTCATAGCGATTGCACTTCATTCCTTTTCTTTCCTTATCGATCTTCTGCCAAAATGCATTCTATGTCTGACCATCACCACATACTACTTATGTGGATATTAGTAGCCCACACCACAATGTTACCTACATGTGCTCATATTCAACATCAATTTATCCAGTTTGTGTTAGGTAGTTATTAGTTAATTTGATAACTTAAAAATACGAATTGATTGAATAAAGATTAAATTGAAATACAGTACCAATTCATGAACTTGGTAATTGATATTTTGGCTTTGTATTTAAAACAGGAAATATTATGTATATGGTAATATGTGATATAAGGTCGAAATCGTCTGCTGTAATATACAGTGACATCTATTCATTTTGTATTGTTTGTTTGGATCTTCCGATTGATGTTTAGGACTGAATTTGATCAGTCTCCTACTGGTATATGCATATCCTGTGAAGATTGCCTCGATATTGCCTTAAGATTCGAACAAACAACACAAGATAAATTTACATTTCACCCTGTTGCTTAAGTCAATAACGCGATAGCGCTTGAAGTGAACGGTACTGGGTCTGAGTCTCTGAGTAAAAATCAACTCTGAGATTCAGTTACATCAAGCTGACGAGTCCTAAATGGTACGAAACTCTCGTCCTAGATTCAACTGCTAGCCATCATCCATCTTAGTTACATTTATTGTTCATTATTATTTGAGTAACTATCTCAAAGTCATTCCATACATGTCAAACACTGTCCTCATTCTTCCTCCTTTTGAAATAATTCCAATTAAGTTCTTCTACTTGTTTGACTTTTTGCTTCTTGTTTATTTCCTTTTATCCTTATAGTTATGTGAAGTACTTGTGTCGACTTGAAACAATACATTAATTTTGTATAGTTTTCAACTTCATATCTATGAATTACTACTTAAATGATTTGTAATAATATTGCATTTGTAATGAAAATATGTTTCTAATAATATTGTGTAATTATTTTTTTACCACTCTCTTTAACTTTCACTTCCTCAATCTCTTTTTCTCTCCTAACAAAATTCACAGGATTTATTAGAGATATGGTGAAACCATTATTAACTGGATGGCATGAATTTCTCCAAAATAATCTTACATTGAAAATTTTACAAAATTTAGATGAAAATTTAAAAAATTGGTTAACTGATTTATCTTTATCGTCGTCAGCATCATCATCATCAGGCATGACAAATTATGTTAATCGTCATAATTCATTAGATAGTCAACTGTTATCAACATTACCACTTAGTAATAATAATAATCAATCTATTTCATCAAATCAAATTAAACAAAAAACGATTAAATCACAGGTTAGTTGAATAAACGTTTATGATGAATAGTTATAATGAATTCATATTTATATTATGTTTAACATGTTATTAAATAAAGGGGGGGGAATATTTCTTTTTGTTAGTTGATAGTTTCCTATGATTTGAATGTCAAGATTATATATTATTTGTTTATTATTATTTGAACATATAAATACTGGTACAATGGGGCACCAGATATATATGCGCCACACAAAAGTTGTCATTTCATTTAATTGCGTGAGAGCTATGATACTGTCCGGTTGCCCAGGCTGAAGCAGGTGGTTTTCTTAGGGGTCCACACCCGATCCACAAGGCAGTGGAGCATCGTGAAGAGATACAGTTTCATGGTAGTCGGTGACCAAGGATTTGTCCATACACCATTTGTCGCCTTATGATACTAGAGCCCATGTGCACCATTGGTTTGGAATCAGGGTTTTCCAACTCCCCTAGATGAACTTTCCGTGTCCACCAACCCGGGTAAAGTGCCGGACATTCGCTTTTCGTCCTCTCAATTTTGTAAACCACAGTCATGCCACGAGAAGGCAGTGAATAGGACTTCCCTGTCAAAGGCTGTATACGCATGGCTGTGTGAGAGCATTTCGAGAGAAGGCGGGCCCTCCGCACTCTCGGCCGTACCAGGGAATTTGAGGGCCAAGAATATATATATATATATATATATATATATATATATACTGCAATGATTATTTTCGTTCTTGAATATTTCCAAGGAACTATCGTCTTGAATTTTTTTTTTAAATTTTTCAACACATTTTAGTGTTTAGAAGGGGATTTGTGGAGATTTCAGTATTTTTCAAAGTTGAAATCATGAGTCAATTGAAGCTAGACCACCATCGAAAACCTGGAAGCACTGGACGGCCGTTTCGTCCTACTATGGGACTCCTCAGCAGTGCGCATCCACGAACCCACTCTCGCGGGATTCGAACCCAGGACCTACCAGTTTCGACCTATTATCATTTTAGTGTTAACTATATTTGGAGATTGTTCGGAACCGTTGAAATATTGATTGCCAATAATCAGATAAAGACGATAAAAATTTGTTATGAGGTAGTTAAGGGAATAGGAAAAGTTTTTGTTACTTGACTTCTAGTCATAAGTTTTGTATATTTGTGAACTAGAAATACAATTTATCCACTTAAATATGGAATTACTTGAAAAGGAGGTAAAAATAAGCAAATGTGTGTTTGAAAGTCGGGTAATTTAATCATTAAATTCAACGTTCCATGTAGCTTATATTTATTATTTGAAGCTCTGAAAGTACTTCTGTGGAATTAGATATTAGTATTCCATTTTATGGACACTAATTTTGTCATCTGATATGTTTTGTTTGTATCTAATTAAGCTGACAGATAAATTCTATTGCACGTACATGTTTGTGGTTATGAAGTTAGACACCTTGCAAAATAAAATGTTACTTAAGCCCAAAACGATAATCTAACTGCTTGTTATCTACAACTTCATAAAATTATCATAATTGAAATATCTGCTCGATGAAATTTAGGTGGATTCTTTTATAAATTCATTTAATTCGAAAATATATTTCATGACGAACTAAAGAATTACCATAAACTATGTAAAACATTCAACTATGACCTATAAAGATAGTGAAATCGTGTATATTAAGCGTCAACAGTGAAATCGATTGATGATTCTACTATACCATATACTAGTTGAACTTAGAATATAAAACAGTGGATATCAATCTCATGATGTATGTGTATCACATCTTCTTCAGTCCATGAAATTACTATATAGATTTCCTTGTGATGTCGTTAATGTGCTCTGATGAGTATTTTCATGGTGGAAGAAGATATTTATCTAATGGTATTTGGCATTCAGTAATTGTCCGACTGATTTCAGTTCAGTTTGAAAATTGACTGGATATCCAACATAATTCATAAAATTCATTGTTTTCTGGTTACTGTTTATTTATTTATTTAAACACGTAATCATTCTTATAAGGAGGCACCAAACAGATATGCGCCACATAAATCATTCGACTTGTATGAGAGCTGGAATTTTGCCCGGGCGCTCAAACTGAAGCAGGTTACTGTTACAATATTTCAATCAAATAATCATTTATACTTGGTAGATATGTAACAGAAAATATGAAAAATATTATCTGTAACAAATAGACTGTTTATATTAGTTCAATTAAACGATTAAAAATCTTTGATAATCAAAATTATTGAATATCAAAAATGATTTCATAAGATTCAATTAATGTAAGTGTTATGTAATCATTAATTTTATCAAAACTAGTAGTTAATTGACATTGTAACAGTTCAGTTATTGAGTGAGATTATGAAGGAATCAATGTTAGACTGTCATTGAAAATCTGGAAGCACTGGATAGTCATTTCAAAACTCTACAATCTACACAACCTTATACTATAATTTCAGTTATTATTTAAGATTATATTGATGTTTTGAATTATTAACAATGCTAATAGGTGTCTATTATACATATGGACGTTAAAAGGCCTGTTATAAGAATAACTTACTTACTTTAGTTTTTTCTAGTGAAAACTTCAATCATCTTATAAACTTTGGTGGTTTGAAAATCGAAAAAAGGATTTGAACTTTGTTATGCTTGTGGCCGAGTGGATGACTAGTTGATGTGTGGCTCGATAGAACCGCCTAACAGGGAGCAGCGAATTGTCGATTGGAACAGCGACACGAAACCCGTACGAGCAAACTAGAGTGCTAACCGGTCCTGCGATCTTCCTAGCCCAGCCAGTTAAGTCCAAAACACCAATAACAGCCTCAGTGGTATGAATCATTATTTACAAACATACTGGGTTTTTATACAAACCAAAGTAATCAATAACTGAGTATAACTCAAGAATCGTATGATAATAAATCAAAGATCAAAATAAAGCTCACGATAAGAGAAACACAAATATGAATAGTTTAGTTACGTAACAATTGTACAATAGGGAATAGGCATAATACATTGGTCGATAAATAGACCTAAAAGTTAACATTCGTAATTCACCGGGGGATAGAACAAACTTAAAAGTTTAATTAAGACTGCGTCTCTGTCAATCTTAGATTGTTTCTTTCAAATTTATTTTTAAGCAGTGATAAATTTAATGAAAATGTTTGACATAATGTAATTGATGTACCCTGTGAAATTCATTTAAAGAAAAGAAAAAAACTGAATAAAACATTACATCAACACCGTTGGATGCCACCTCAGTGGTTTAGAGGTTAAGCGGTCTCGCGTGAGACCATAGGTCCTGGGTTCGAGTCACATATTCGTGATCGTGGATGTACATTGTTGAGGAGTCCTATACTAAGAAAAAACGGCCGTCTGGTGCTTCCAGATTTTCAATGGTGGTCTAGCATAAATCTGTTGTGACTTTATAAGTAATAGGTCATATGCTAATTCGTTATTGATTTTATGTCGCGCTTTTATCACGTGAATTATCCACCAATCGAAATACGACTTTTCCAATATTAACACTGTGACAAATCAATGACATTCGACCAGTATGAGTAATCTAGCGTCCCTTGTCCACCTAGCCCTTCCAATTGAGTGCAGAACACCAATTACAGCTTCTGCCATACGAATCATTTATTTCAAGCATACGTGGTTTATATATTGGACAGATAGACAGCATCAAACCATAAAATAGAAAATAATATTTGTACAAGATCAAGCCAAGTGTGGCTGTGAACGTGGGATACAATAATCAATAAACTGAATATAATTTAGGGACAGTAATTCGTATAATAATAATAATCCGTAAGTCAAAATGAAGCTTGTAATAAAATGAATATAGATATACATAATCTAATCACGCAATAGTTAGACAATAAGAATATATATAGAATAATCGTCCATTAATAGGTCCCGGAAGTTACCCGTACTCATGTCTTCGCTAGGACATAACAAAATCGACTCATGCATTCAACTATTACAAAAATATCCTGATTAAATAAATTTCATTTTTAATTCTTTTTTATTTCTTACTTTAGATATCGGATCAAAAAAGTAAAATTGACATACAAAAACCTTTTATAGGATCCATTCATTTAACTCATTCACCAATTCAAGAAATTGAAACAATGAATGCACCTGAATCATTTGATTCTACTACTACTACTAATAATAATAATTTACATTCAGGTAAATTATATCAAACAATATTTATTACAACACGTGTTATACGTCGACATTCATTACCGGAAACTCAATTAGCTATTAGAAAAACATTTAATTTTTCATTATCAAATAAATCAAGTACTGTTGTTCTATTAAAAAATGATACACAAAATATATTATCATTACATTCAAGAAATAATAATAATTTACCAGTCGGTAAGATTAAATCTCAATCATCTACCTTCAAATCACCATCATCACTATCGCCATCGTCTACATGTACAGTATCTGCAAATCTATTACAAATGTTATATGAAGAATTAAAACATAATAATACTAATAATAATAAATCAAATTATGTATTATCTAAAATTGATATAAAATCAATTCCAAATACAAGTCGTTATAAAGATAATAAATTATTGGAACAAAAAGTATTAGATTTAAATTGTGATCGTACATTATTACGATTTTCTGCACTTGCTCATCGTCGTAGTAGTGCACCAATTACAGAACATTAAAATGTATACATAAACATATAGTTTAAATGGGAAATTGATATTCTTTCTTCTTTTTTTAAATGTATCATTTATTATTTACTATATATTCACAATGGATTTAGATTGAATGACTCAATCTTCACTCAGTATCATTTATTGTCAATAATATGAATAAGAACGATACTACTACTAATACTAATACTAATACTACTGATTTTGTTAGCGCTGTTAGCATTCGGTCAATCATGTACTTCATCTGTACATAAACTAAAAAGAAATATTTATATAATCTTAAGACATTGTCAACGTGAAAGTGAAGTTATGACTTTATAGTTATAGCAATCAGTTTAACAACTAAATGAATTGTTGATTTTAATTCCAATTCACCTATTACGAATCAATAAGTCAGGATGGTACTATTGAAGATCTACAAATACTCACACAAACATATAAACAAAAGTGAGTTTGGATCATATATGAATTTCATAAATCTTTTGTACTGGTTAAGATGATGTTCTACATTAACCGTAGTCAGTAGCTTAAGTAGGAAGGAATGAGAAAAACACATTTTAATGTATTTATCTCCATGTCAGTTTATATGAGTGTACATGCTAACTCAATAAATGTTTTGTTTTCTTAAAAAAAAACATTATTAATTACAATTATTCAAACCTTTTTTTTGAAATTTTGTGTATCTGTGCTTGTATGCATGTGTTAGTGTTGATTGTCTGTAACGAAACCCCCCACCCCCCTCCAAATAGTAACACCTAAAACAACAAAGAATTTTGCTCAATTTTTTTTCAAATCATCTATATTTTAAAATGTTATTATTTACAAAAAAAATTTCACAAATACTCTTCAATTCATCTGGACAACTTAATATTATATATGATGTCATGGAGATAAACGAACTTGTTTTACACATAAAATCTTTAGTAAAATGCCTAAAGTACATTTCTATTCAGGAAAACATTTTTTTTCTTTTTCAAGTGATTAGGAGATATATATTTATTTATTTGTATATGTATGTGCGTTCGTTTAAAGATTCATGCATAAATACATACATACATACATACGTATACACACACATATACGGATGATCGGTTGCATATACATACCTGCAAACATATGCTTAACTATAAAAAAAGGAAACCATATTAATGTAACTTCACAATAGGCTTTCAAAAAAAATCTTATTTATCCCCAAGCTAATGATTAAAAAAATAACACCTTGTTACATAATCTTCCCTATTTGAAATGATCACAATAAATAGGAATAGTTGTAATTTCAATAAAATGAATTAATGTAGAGTAATGTAACCTGTATCACTTTACTCTTTGTGAGTACATTGGATGTTTTTTATCCAATTATTATTATTATTATTATTTTATGTCGATTTATGTTTTACACAAGATTTTTGTTTATTTGTTTTTCTTTTTATTGTCTCCTTTTTATCACGGATGTTTTCATCACCTTTTTTTCTTTCTTAGTTTTACAATTCCTAACTCTTTATTCTTTTAATTTTATCACAATCAGGTTTGTTTTTATTTTTGTTCCTGTAATTTAAGCTGAAATATTAAATAATAATAATAATAATAATACAATTGTTTATTTAATATTGACAAGTTAACATAATACAAATTATACTATTTTACTGTTTTATGCATCTATACATATACACGTATACTATGATAATAATCATAAATTAATTTTAAATCCATAAAAAAATATTTGTTTTATAATGGAAATTAAAGGGTATTCGAATATGATTTCAGTCAGTAGCTGAATGGATAACGTGATGGCGTTTGAAGCGTAAGGTATTGGGTTTGAGTCTCAGAGTGAATATCAACTCTGAGATGCAGGTACATCCAGCTGACGAGTCCCAAATAGGACAATCTGTGCATCCTGGATTCTACTGCTAGCCACTTTCCATCTTTGCTTACAACTTTCTTATTGTTAAAGTAATTTTCGTTTTTTTAATGGTGTAATAATATAAATAAAAGACTGTTATGACTACATCGACAATTGTTCTATCTGATCATTGTTAATTGTTATGTCGGAATAGTTTATTACTTATACTTGTAAAATGAGAAACCACTGTAATTCCTATGACGTTAAGTAACAACATCAAGACTGATACAACTGAAGATTTATTAACCTTAAAACATGAGGACTATGCTAGTCTAAAATACACTCGATATATATATATATATATTACTTACGCCTGTTACTCCGAATGGAGCATGGGCCGCTGACCAGCATCCCCCAACCCACTCTGCCCTGGGCCTTCTTTTCTAGTTCTATCCAACTTTTGTTCATTCTCCTCATGTCTGTCTCTATTTTTCGGCGTATTGTGTTCTTTGTCTTCCTCTTCTCCTTTGACATTCAGGACTTCATGTGAGGGCTTGCCTTGTGATGCAATTGGGTGATTTCCTCAAAGTGTGTCCTATCGACTTCCAGCGCCTCTTCCTGATTTCTTCTTCCTCTAGAATCTGATTTGTTGTCTCCCACAGTAACTTGTTGCTGATAGGATCTGGCAAACGGATCCGAAGTATATATATATATATATATATATCGAGTGTAAACCTATTTTGATTATTAATTAGAATGAAATCACACACATATACAATAATCGCAGTTATAATAAATCAAGCTCTACATATCATATTGAGTATTGTCCATGTTAACTTAATGCCAGAATATCGTATATTATACCGAATAAAATATCCCATTGGAAAAAAAACCTAATGTTACATTGAGTAAGTAATGTTGAACAAAAATCACAATGAGTAAAAGAATCTAATGTTGCTTTTTTATCCCGTCATTATTAAAGACTAAGACAAAAAATACGCAGATGTATTAATTGCTAGGTATATTTTCTACTCATAAATCGTATTATTTACACATATATTACCCATACAATACCATTTGAACCAGTAATCATCCATACAGGTAAAAAGAACATAAATTCGTAAAATAAATATTTGGTATATTATTTATTATTTGAACTACCACAGTCTATCAATTATCCAGTAATCCTCGATACCATCAGATGTTGAATTTAGGACTTTAGATCTCGCATTCGAATGCCTAATCTTTAGACCAGTGATTTAAATGTATAAATTCAATTGACCGACAGTACTGAGTTACTATATCTCATCTCTTGTGATGAATAACTGTCTGACATCTGAAATTATTGAGCTCTAATAGTTACAGTTTCTCACTAAAACTCTTAGAATTTTACTAGCTAACATATGAATATGATTTGTATGTGAGATATGTGGACATTGTTGAATTGTTATAGTTTGATCCACTGATTGTACAGTGATGAAGATTACAATACTAAGATAAAATATCTGTCAATACTTCTTATTTCTAAGTGGTTGTGTATAATCAGTCCTTAGTACAAATTATTATTTACTGTTTAAATTTATAAGAATCTTGTCAGTAAAACTGAAGATAGTGTGTTAGTAAATTATTGTAGAAGTTTTAATGTAATTGTTGTTGGTTGGGATTTGTGCAATCGTAAATAAAATCTATAGTTAATTAAACAATAAGCAATAAGGGACAATAAAATAAAGTGATCACTTTTTTTAGTTAATTACTGAGGGGTTCCACCCAACCATATATATATATATATATATATATATATATATATATATATATATATAATGCAGAATATCAAGACTTCCAGTGCATGTAGACATGTTTCTTACGATAATAAATGTTTTGTTAACGTGAGTAAATTCATATGAGGTAGAGAAGCCCGTATTATGCTTGGGTTCTTTCACCTTATCCTGTAAGCAGTCAAATAACACCCATAAAAAATCAATAACATCAATCAAGTCCTTACCTGCTGCTTGGAAATATGAAGACAAATAAAATGAGATATAATCATTTCTGACATGTTTAAAAGAATCCATTCATCATAAAACCTTTTCCCTCTAAAACTCAAATTCATCTTTATTTGGATCATATAATTTTTTCCATTCTTTTCATTTATATATCTCTACGCATTTCATCACTGAACAAATCATCATCCTTAAGATGGAATTGTAGTTTAGGAAACATTATTCTTAGCAATTAAAATTCATGAATAATGATTCGTAGAACCAAAATATTTCTTAGGGTACAATCATCTCCAATTTTTTATGAGTAAAAAAAAAGAACCTCTATCACTTGAAAATTCCCAAACTTTAAAAATATTCACCAAATAGAATTATATATATATACCTGTATGTGGGATCAGTATTGTTAGATGTTTCTTTTATATCATTATTAGAAAACATTTGAATATTCCCATTATTAGTAATCATTCTCCAATGGCATTCGTGCATTGTCTCCAGATTTCATTAATATAATCATTTTATCGCAAATGTTTACAGAATAAATACGTTCTGATTAGTATAGGAATCTGGAACTCATGTGTCGTTTTATTTGGGACTTGTCAGCTGGATGTACCGCTTTATTCAAATCCATTCACATGATGAGAAAATATCAAACCATATTGAACGAGTGAGCGGGTATTTGCACTCAATAGTTCAGAGGATAACGCATTGTTTATTCAAAGAAGATGTTAGTTTTAAGTACAGATGTATATATCAACACAGGAATGCATTGGATCCAATTGGAGAGTCCCTAACAGGATAAAACGCAGCTACTGCTATTTGCTGTTAGTTACGATAAATTCATTCCACAAGTTAATTTTATTTCAAATCTCCTAAGAATACAGATTGAACTTTTTTTCTCTTCAAGTGGAATTCGCCTAGTACGTTGTACGTAGGTAGATATTTCAACGTTAAAAGTATTGTAAACATTTTAATATTATATTTTGATTGTTTCTACTTTATTACATTGGTGTTATTTGTATCATTAAAAAAGAATTTTCATTCCCATTTTTACTGAAAACAATAACAAAATAAAATATCTTGTGATCTGAAAGACTTGTGATTTAGTCTCTTGTGCAAATTATATTTGACAAGAAGCTTTTTTTCCCATTCAAGTGTAAAAGTGAAAACTTTGTCTTTCTTTTATGAAAGTGTTGACGATATGTTCACCAGATTAGTTTCCTTCCATTAAGAATTTTTCTGATCATATTATTTTGTTATACAGTGTTTATTTTACAAGCAAGGGTGGATAATGCTAGAAGTAGAATCCAGGATGCACAGATCGTCCTATTTGGGGCTCGTTAGCTGGATGTATCTGAATCTCAGAGTTGATGTTCACACTGCGACTCGAACCCAGTAACTTTCGCTTCAAACACCATCGCGTTATCCACTCAGCAAATGAGTCCTGATAGCCACTTGCTTGTGCAATGAGATAAAGTTTAAATTTACTTGATATTGTTTAATTATATCTTCGCTTGAATGTTTAGGGGTGCAGTTGATCAGTCTGTTATTGGCATATGTGCATCTTATGCGAACTGCTTCGATATTGCTTTAAGTCAATAGCCTTATAAGCAAAAGTGAATATTAGCTAGCAATGGAATCCAGAACGCAAGTGGCTATCAGGACTAAGTAGCTAACTGGATAACGCAACGGTTTTTGAAGCAGATGGTTCTGGGTTCGAATCCCAGAGTGAACATTAAAATATACCCACACCAAAACACTCACAAATATCATTAATGAAAACTAAAAAGAGCAAAGGACCTAAGACACTACCCTGAATTACCCCACATCTAACAGGGACTGCGTTCGACAATGAAGAGTTGATTTTAACTATTTGATGTCGATTGCTGAGGAAGGAATCA